GTGATGTCATACTTTCAAATGGTTGTTAGAAACTAAGGTTTTCTACTATACTTGCAACTCTTCTGAAGGCAGAGACTGCTTCATAACAAAGTGCAGTAAGTTATGCAAGCAAAACACTCAGAGCACTGCTGGGCACAGTGGCACTCACTAACTGTAGCTATTATTGGTAACATTATTGCCACTGTCTGTTGGAAAGAGATTAAAGAGAAGTCCTTGCAAGTGTCTCAGTTTATGATTGCTGCTAAATATAATGGTAATAATCCTTAAGCTTCAACACTGCTTTAAAAACTTTTTGGCAAAAAAAAGAAAAAGAAAAGAAAAAAAGCGAAGAGGGCACAGGTGGCTGTTCATAGACATTCTCCCCTGGATCAGATCTGAGCCCTCAATTTGTTTTCCATCTGAATAGCAAGAGAAGACTCCTTTATCACAAAGCAAAGAGCACAACTACAATCAGATGTTTCATGCCACAGTGCAAGTCTCTAAAGAGACCAAGGATACTTTTCTAAGGCAGTATGAGGGGGAGGGTAACAGATCAGTGACCATCAATACAACATGCTACACTTGATATGTTTTCTCCACTCTCCCTAAATGTTCTTTAGTGACGTAAAGAACACTTACTTATTAGCAAGGGGAAACAAATGGACTGGTTCCTGGGAAAATTCATGCTTCATAATTTAAAGATAAAGGCATCTCCTCTCGAATGGACCCTACTGAATCTTTTGTTCTTACTGAGATTCCACCATTACTCCCTGCCCCGCCTAACTCACTGGCCTGAGGCAGGAAGTTTAGAAGTTTTCCAACCAATGAAAGGTATGCCCAGAAAAGGCCAGAGTGTACAGTTTAAAAGAAAAAAAAGAAAAAGGCATTGAGCAACAGGCTGAAGCTGCAGAGGTGAGAAGATGGTAGTATGGGGAAAAGGACACCCCAAAATGCAATAAAACCTGAACGTTATATAGGGGGACAGGTTCATTTACTATAAGAAGCTCTTGGGTGCCTACCTGGCTCAGTCAGTGGACTGTGAGACTCTTGATTTCAAGGTTGTAAGTTCAAGCCCCACATTGGGTGTACAGATTACTTAAAAATAAAATCTTTTTAAAAAAACTCAAATATTTTTCTTAATAAAAAAATTTTTTTTTCCAATTCTGGTTCTCTCAGATTCTGCACTGAAATTTTCTGACCATTGAATGTATTATCTCACATTTAATACTATTTGCAGATATTCACTATGCTTATTGTGTCAGTTTCACTAGAGTCAATGAAGAAATTATCTTTCATTTTTAGCAACTGTTGTATATTTTCAAGAAGAATTTTATAATCAACGTTCTACGCAGAGTCAAAAATCCCCAGTGTTCAGACTTCCATATGGGAGTACGATCAACCAGATGGTTAATGGTCTACTTGGTAGAATCAAGACGTCTTAGGAAGTAGTTTATGTTTCACTTTTGGATTTAACATTGTATGGGGTTAAAAAAAAAAAAAAAAAACCTCTGATATTTTTCAACCTTGTCTTAAAAAGAAAATTTGTAATTATTTTTGCAATTCCCAAGAAGCAACAAAAAAACCTGACAGTTTACTAAAGCAACCTAAAGGGTAGCTTTTACCACCCCCATTTTAATGAAGTAAAAACAAAGCCCAGGAAGTACAAACCTTACCCCTGGACACAGAGAAAAAGGGGCAGGACAGGATCAAAACACAGGCTGCCTGGGTCCAAGAGGGGAGTCGGTCTTAACAAAAGATCAAGTCGTCAGATTGGATGGCTACGAGATACTGGGTAAATAAAAATGCAACTAAGGACAGTAAACGGATGAATGGAGCCATGTCCCTATGACCACAGATTATAATCATCTCTTTTAATAAGTCAAGACCAACTACTTTAGTTCATGCCAAGAATACTGCTATTTTGTGCAAACGCCTGTAAGGTCTAACTGGCTTTGTGTATTAAGACTTTTGAGCTGAAATTAATATATTAACTATTTTCTAATCAGATTTTGGATTAGAACCTTCAAACAAAATGAGAAATAATGATATTATGTTGCAGAATATGCGGACTGCAGAAGCAAATTTGGGTGAATCTTGTTCGCAGAGCACAAGCACACACTGCTTGAGCACAGAAATGTCACCACAGGCTCCAGAAGCCAAGCCTGACTACCTACTGGTTCAAACTTCAGGCCTCTCAGTAGTCAGACCCTTGCAAGCTTGCACCCTACTTAACACTGGCAACATCTGTCCCCAATTTTTTTGCTCAAGTAAGTTTTGTTCCTTTAATGCCATGGCTAACAAGAATACAGTATCACCATCCCTTACCAAAGATCCTAAGGGTCAGAGGATTTTCAGAACTCAGAATTTGTTGGATTTAGAAAGGTACTATAACAAATATACCATATACTATGTAACACCCCGCAGTGTTTGAGCAATGATCCCCTATTCTATCACGTTGGTACTTTTGCAGTAAAAGTTGTACAAACACACAAAGTGAACTAACTCAATATAAATAGCCTCATCTCAGTTCAGGCCAAGTATGACCATCCAATGAGCTTCCGCACCAAACTTAGCATAAACATTTTTTGATTTTCAGAGCTTTCAGATTTCAGAATTGAGTGAGGATGTCAGAATTAAACACAGAATTTCAAAATAATAAAAATTCCATGCTAATTACCAAGAAATCCACCCTCCCCGAACTTTAAAGGCAATGAACCAAAGAGTATAGAAAAGTCTGCCTCCCACCGTCACATACACGTATTCAACAAAGTAATCCCATCAAAACAGAGTTTTCTACACTCCTTTTCAAGTACACCCTCTGTGACCACGCGAGCAGGGAACTGCACGGCCAGCCCCTCAGAAGCATCAAGTGGAATTCAGGGGGAACCCGGGGAGCTAGGGCAAATCCTTACACTCCCTTCGTGAGGAGTGTGAGATCTGCTACCATCTTTACTTATAAATAGAAATTCAAGTATTTTTTCACTTCAATTAATTCATCCACCTCCCCTCAAAAACCTACAACACATCAAGCACAAGCTGGACAAGGAGCACACAAGCACAGAAATGAACAAATGGCAGCCAGGAAGTCAAAGCGGTAAAAGAAGTGACCCAGGACGCAGACCCTGCTAATGCACCGCCATGGGCACGTCCTTGAACTGGGTTTTCAGACGAGAGAGAAACATCCGTCTAGGGCATACCTCCGCCAGATTTTAAAACCCAACCGATGGGAAGAATCCCTCTGAATGACTGCCAGCAACACCCAATGAAAAATGAGACCAGAACTTGTGTGAGTCTCTAACTTACACAGTTAAATTACATAATATCACTTTTAATAAGCACTCAGTAAAAACAGACATATAACCAAAACTAGTAAAAAATAAACTTGGTTGTTACGAACCCAAGAGCTAATCATTTAAAACACAAAAGCTATTTAGTCAATTCAGTGATACAATCTAGCTCGTGCCATATGACAACTACCCACCAAACAGTTAAATAAATGTGGCATCACTGAAATTATGGACTCCTTTGTATCTAGACAGAAATCCAAGGAATGATCAGGCAGTCAATAAATGCATATTTAGGGGCACCTGGGTGGCTCGGTAGGTTGGGCGTCCAACTTCAGTTCAGGTCACGATCTTACAGTTTGTGAGTTCTTACAGTTTGTGAGAGCCACGTCGGGCTCTGTGCTGACAGCACGGAGCCTCGAGCCTGCTTCAGATTCTGTGTCTCCCTCTCTCTCTGCCCCTTCCCTGCTCACACTCTGTCTCTACCTCAAAAATAAATAAATGTTAAAAAAAAATTAAAAAAAATAAATGCATATGTAAAAATAAACATTCTGAAATACAGGATGCTTTAAAATAGTATCACGGATCAGCTTCTCTGTCACTGGAACAGGGCATACTTTTGAAAAAGAAAATAAAAGCTCAAATTTACTGTTTTCTAAAGAACATAAAGGTAAATAAAAAAGGTGACCATTCAGTACACTATCACCCCTGTAGCTCTCGTCTACAAAATACAAAGAGACAGACGCGAACACATATGCCTCACTAGAGCTTTACACAGCTTCTTATAATGACAACAAAGAACACGTGGCCTTTCGTTAATCCTAGACTGACTGTCTAAACAGTAACCTTCTAATTTTTACATATAATTTCTCAGCATCCTCTAGGAAAAGTTTTTCACTAAAAATAAAAAATACCTACATTGTAATTACCCTGCAAGTAGTTCTTCCACTAACTTCCTTCAGCCAAGCAGCTTTTATTTCTTTCTAAATTCGCGTATCTAGAGATTATGTCTCAGATGTCCCAAGCACTGACAACCTGATCATCTGCTAACATTCCTGTACTTTTTAAATCTGTAGTTCCTGTAGTTGCATGATTGATACAGGATAAAAATGAATGCATATGCTCTTAAATAACTTCTTCCATGTGCTAAGTTAAACTATAATCTATTACAGACACTAGGAATTTTTTCTATTAAATTTTGATTCTATTGTTTCTCATTTTAAAAGTCATAACTCTCCCTGTTACGTAGATCTTACCAACACGGTTGAGAACTGAATGTATCCCTCTCATACCAGTTGTCTTACTAAAGATATTTCTGTGAGTGTTCCTGGGGTTTTATTAAATGAGTAAAACAAATGACTAACCAGCACACGTAACATCCTAGTGTGTGTTCAGTATGGTACCACGAAAGGTTTGACACAATGTGCATTAGGGAAATAATCTGCCAATTCACAGTAAGTTCAAAACACAGATCAGCTAAACACACATCTTTACCTTGCCTCTCTACACCCAAATTTTCTCACTTTTCCTTTTCTTCTTAATAAAATCAAGAGCAAACAATAAGCCACTTTAGACACCGATGACGTTAATTAGAACTCCTTCCAGAGAGGTTCACTTTGGGTTTTGAAGCTGTTTTTTCTCATCTTACTGGCACATGCCCAAATGTGCAAACACACGCACGCGCACGCACATAGAGACGCGAAGTTCTCACTGAGTGGGTCCAAGTGACTCACTTACCTGGTCTCAGGGTTGTAGCCTAATATGTAGAAAAATGAATCCACTCGAGCTTTAAACTCTCTAGCAGCAAATATGTCAGAAAAATGGGAGATGTTACACTTCCCTCTGAAAACAAACAAATGTAAAAAATACATTATTAGTATTACCCTCAACTGCTTTGCAAACCAAAACACTATTGGAGGGAAAGAGGCAGGGGAAGACGCAACTAAATCCACATTACTCTAAAAACACGTAGACTATGGCTACAGACTCCGTATTTATCAATTCAGAAAACGTCCAATATTTTTTGTGTGTGTATCAGGACTGCTTCAACCGACTTCACAATTTCACTGCTTGTACCTCAGCATCTTAGCCATGGAGTAAAATCAACTAAACCATAAAGGTAAATTGAGGGTGGGACCATGATAAAAGGATATGAAACTAGACACAACAGGAAAAATAAACCATAGTTAAATTACTTTACCAAAAAAACCACCTAAAGCCTTTCTAAACCGTAAAAATGGGACTTTTCTTCCTGCTACTTTGCTATAAGCAAAATGTATAGCTGTCAAATATTTTTCTTCTCTTTAAATGTTCAAGAAATAAACTGACTTGCAAATTAAAACGGAGAGACTTTAATTTTTTAAGTATACAGATGGGCTTTAATACATAAAAACACACACTTCCCAAATTCTCAGATAACATTCAAAGATCGTAGGTTGGAAAAACACTTTCCCACAAAAATATTGCAAATAGACAGCATTAAGGTTTCCAGGTTCATCTACCAACACAATTTAAAACCAAAAATGTAGCTGAAAACTCTGTAATACCACCAAACTCCTTAAATGCGCGCACGCGCACACACACGTTGGGAGAATTTCCAGCGTTCCCAAGGAGGCAGGGGGGTTTTCAGCAACTCCCTTCGTGGTCACAGAAGGGAACTTTAACATCAAGTGGAAGCCAAGGGCTGCGATTACAGTAGATGGAACCGGAGAATCAACAGCACGTGCATATGCTTCCGGGGCTATGAACTCCTACCACTTGACCAGGTAGGTATTCCATTCTCATAAGGACTCCGTAAGTTGGTGCGTTAACAAATACACACCAGCTAATGGCCAAAGTGTTAGAGAAAGAAGCTAGCCGAGGAACAGCAACCTGGAGATGACATTCATTCGCTTCCCACCAAGGACTTGAAAAACAATGTCCTCCTTTCCAATAGAGCTTAAGTGACTGTGACCAAAACCTCAGTGATAGGCAGACACTAAGATGGGCCTCAAACAACCTCCATTTTAACAATTTAACAAAAGTGCTTGAGATTTATTGACATTTCTTTGAGAACTACCGGTAACATAATACACAGCTCTTGAGCACTTGAGATGTGGCTAGGCTAGTCCAACTGAAGAGAACAGGATTTAAAATTTTATTTAATCTCAACTAATGTAAATTTAAATAATCACATGAGGCTAGTGGCTACCATAATGAACACATTTATATGATATCTCCATCACCGCGGAAAGTTCCATGGGAAGCAATTATTTGTAAGTAACAAGCTACACTAGGAATATGGACTAGGAATCAACTTTGTATACCCAGGACTTTTCCCTCTAGTGTGTAGCTAGAACTAAAACGACCTTCCAGAAAAGAAAAAGCAGCAAAGATCACTTTTACAGATGAACAAACAATGCACTCACTCTGAAACTAACTACCCATCTATCTGACATGATTTAGTCCCTGACACCTAGAAAAAATAGGCTAGTTCCTTCATCAGTTAAACAGGGATAGGAACACCTATTATACTAATCCCTATTGAGGAGATCAAACAAGGAGTCTATGAAACTTTATACGCTATTCAGTGCTACACAAAATAAGTTATTTCCATCACTGTCCCTAACTAAAGGAAAGTGATTCCTCTTTCACTATTCTTCATTATTATTCACATTCAAGTCTACCCTTCAACTTAATTAATTGATGTATTCATTGAACCTATAAAAACACCGCCAACCCGCAATTCTAAACACAGACATCGGAAATCAAGTATGCTTTCTTTAGGAAAGAGTTTCGCAATCTCACTATTGACATTTTAGACTGCATAGTTCTTTGTTGTCAGGGACTGTCCTGTACTTAGCAGTATCCCTGACTTCTACCCCATCGCACCCCCAAACCACACTGTGACAATTAAGAGTTTCTAAAGACACTGCCAAATGTTCCATGGGGACAGCAGCACAAATGGTTTCGGAAAAGCCTGAAGCAGCAGGAACAGAAGCACATCATCTGACAAATAAGCATGTAACTGTAATGAATGAGGTCACTCACTGGTATGTCCTCTTCTATGTGACTGCGTGAAAGGTACTGGTTTTTATATATCAATTTCATATCCCACTACTGAACTGCATTCTTTATTATTTGATACAGTTTAATCATTGGTTCTCTAAGGCTTTCCAGGTATGTTATCTGTTATTTGCAAATAAACACAGTTTTACTTCTTTTCTATCCTTTCTTAAAACTAATACTGAACCTCTCACACATTGTGGAAAGTAATGGAAACAGGCACCCTCGCCTTGAACCTGATCTCAATGGAAAGGTCTTTCAGGTATTACTATTAAATATGATACTAACTTCAGAAATAATCATTGCTTTGGAAATATGGAGGTTCCCCCCTTAGATTTAATAATATGGTGTATGATATTAGCAGAGTCTCTAATAGTGAACCTACCTTGCATTCCTGGAATAAATCCCAGTTGGTCATAATGTCACTTTTAACGAGATATTAAAATTTTTTAAGGATCTCATTAGTTTTACTGTTTTATTCCTCATTAATTTCTTTTTTATTTTTGTTTCCTTCTCTGTACTTTTTTGTTGTTGTTCATAACAGCTTTTATTCACACTAGCCTAGAAACAACCCAAATGTCCATCAATAAGGAAGTGGGTAACAAATCATTGTATATTTGTGGTTTTTTTTAATTTTTTTTATTGTTTATTATTTTCGAGAGAGAGAAAGACAGAGAGCAAGCAGGGAAGGGGCAGAGAGAGAGGGAGGCACAGAATCAGAAGCAGGCTCCAGGCTCTGAGCGCTCAGGACAGAGCCTGACGTGGGGCTCCAACCCAGACCGTGAGATCATGACCTGAGCTGTAGTCGGCCGTCCAACCGACTGAGCCACCCAGGCGCCCCAAATCATTGTATATTTGTAAGATGAAATACTATCCAACAATACAAAGGAAAGAAGTACTGGTACATAGGACCTCATGAGAAAAAGTCTCAAACATTAAATTCTGAGTAAAAGAAGCCAGGGATACAGAAAGCTCAGACCGTATGATTCCGTTTATATGAATGAATTTCTAGAACAGGCAAGATTCATCTATGGTGAGAGAAATCAGAATAGTGGTTGCTTCGGGGTGGGAGGCTTTGAGAGGAGAGTAGCTTAAGGGAACTTTCTGCGCTGGTGGGAATATTCCCTGCCTTGTTAAGGGTCAAACACATTTATCAAAACTTATAAAGATGTAAACTTAAAATGTGTACTTTACCGTATAAACATTTTTGAAGTATTAGGGTAAAATAAAACATCAAGAGTCAGTAGCACGGAGCCACGGCTGATTACAGCTGCTGCTCTCGGCGGCTAACGAGCCAGCCGGTACTGAGCAGAGCCGAAGACAGAGCAGGTAAGCCCACCTTGGTTGGCCTCCATTTTGAAATATTTTTCCTGTTGCCTCTTGCCGAAGCGGGGAGGTTACGTTTTGAAGTGTGTGTGCGAGAGAGAGAGAGAGAGAGAGAGAGAGAGAGAGTAGCATTTTAAGCATTCAGTATTTTTTTTCTCCAGAGCACTCTTTTCATCTTGCTCTTTTTCTCTCTCAAAAGCGGTACGTTATTTGACAGTGTTTGTGGAATGAAGCCGGAGAGACTGTTAAGAGGAAGTCGCCATCACTACCAGCTTACCAAAATATCGGATTCAGAGCCTCCAAAGTCCTATACACCCTACTTCTAATGTGATGCTTCATTATTAACAGAAACATGACTACAGACTGGGAAGCCCCCTATTCCCGGGGCCTCTCATTCATCAGTAACAAAGGCTTCCTGTAGGATAATCGTTCCGGTAGTCCTTGGGGTGGTGGCCGCACAGTTCCACCCTGGGCACCGCGCGGCCTGACAAATGCTCCGGCTGGTGGGAGGAGGGCATCGGAAGGGGATGAAGGAGAAGAGAGCCGCCTTACACAAGGAGAGACTACAAATGGAAACATGGCCCAGAAATTCATTCCATCAAAACTATTCATAACCGGGGAAGTCTCTGTATATCCCCAGGGCCACGCAAACGTCAGAGAAGCCCGGAAAGAGGGACACAGACACGTACAGAAGGCTTATGGCCGCAGGTCTGCCTACAGCTTTTATTGTGACCCTTGCCTGAAAACAAAGGAAAAGAAAGATTTTGAGACAGAGTCAGTGTCTTGTCAGCTGTAAGCCATTTGACTCATGACAGGTACAGAATTTTTCCAAAGTTTCTTTTCCGTGTTTCATTCTGTTTCTCTTGCCTTCCTATAGGTTATGTGACATTTTATAGGATTCCTCTTGATTCGTTTACGGTGCTTTGAGAATATCACTCCACGGTCTCCCCAAGAGTTGCTCGAAGTGTAACCACTTCCATTACCTCCACGCGGACCCCTCTGCCTGTCCGCTCTTACACGCGGTGGTCTTAAGCGTTTCTTCTACATACGTTGAGCTCCACGTCATTGCATTTTGATTGATCTGTTGCTCTTTTTATCATTTAAGCTGGGAACTTAATCGTTCAATTTCATTTTTTCATTGCAGTTGATGTGTTTAGTATCACCAGTTTTCCTTTGATCAGCGCTTTAAATGCATGCCACAGATGTTAGTACATAGTATTTTTCCTGTTGTTTTTAAAAATTTCTGCAATTTCAGCGTTTATTTCCTCTTCTGCTCAGAGGTTGTTTAAAGTTTTATTTTCTTTAAGCTTTGTATTTTAATTCCAGTATAGTTAACATACGATGTTATATTAGTTTCAGGAACAGAGTATAGTGATTCAACAATCGTATTCACTGCTCAGTGCTCACCAGGACAAGCACCCTCTTGATCCCCATCACCTGTTTCCCCCATCCTGCAGCCCCCTCCCTTCTGG